AACTTACAAAAAATCGAGCAATCTGTTCCATGGATGTCTCAGAGCAGAATTTTTAAAATTTTACAAATTTATTATTATAAGAAAACCAGGTTTCAGGCTAGAGATAATAATTACAATAGTAATCATTATTGAGAGCCTATTATATACCAAGCATCAGTACTAAAAGTAATCAAAGGGACTCAATTTTAAAATATTCATAAAATTAAACAATTTCGAAGCTTGTTTAACACTAGGATAAGAAGACATGATCATTTCTTCCTCAATATTCAACAAAAATACATGAAATACCATGGATTGAACACTATACTCTTCTAAAAGGGGCTATGTAAGCAATAGCCTAACAAAAAATAATATAAACTCCTAGAGTTCAGGCTTTTAACTATTATTTGGGCATCAAAAATAATTTAGTTGTTTGCTGCTCTAAAGTCTCCTGATGCTGTGGAAATCCAGTCCATCATCAACCTAAAGACAATGTAACTACTTGACATCACAATCTCATTAATCTTCATCTGTCCTTCATATCCTGTCATTCTTATGCAAAATGGACTCTTAAGGATGCAACTTCTCTTCACTTATCTATAAGCTAAAGGAGGAGGGTAGGGGGGTAAAAGGTCTATGGAGACTTCAGGATACCACTGGAGACCCCAAGCAATCACTTTACTCGCCTAGTGTGCTACATTACAGCTATTGTGTTTGACATGTAAATATGACATAGCAGGAAGTAGGATAATGTGATTCTTGAGCTATGTGTCTCACTTCCCTTGCTGAAGCCCCAGGAAGCTCCAGCTTTAGTTTCCCCAGACTATATGAAACTGAAATATTGTCCAAAAAAGACACGAAAAATGTGCAACATATGGGTCACATAATGATATCAATTTCACTCCTCTGACAGTCCAAGAATTCTCTCCGTTCCAATATACTAACTTAAGGTCATCATGACATAGAGGTTGTGGGTTAATAGGCAAAAGGACTGTAAAGTAAGCTAGCTAATTTACAAGGCCAAACACCTGAATTAAATGTAGCCAAAGTTAGACTAAATGCATTATTTCTTTCATACTAGAACAGTCCTTTTTCTTTCCAGTTTTAAGCCAAAACCAAAATCTCTACCTTTCAGTATCAGCACAGGAAATTTACTTTAATTCTCCTCTTGCCTATTCTCTTCCTACTACCGTTTCCTCCAGACAAGACAGGTGGTGAAAACTATGTCTATTCATTTCATAAAAGGAAGTTTTTTAAAAAAAAAAAAAATCATCTCTTAAGACTGCTTCGTTTCTAACGGCACATTCAGCACACAGTTTGAACACCATGTTCTAATCACAAATGTGCTGAAACTTTTTTTTATAGTGCTATTAAACAATACACAAATAATGCTGTGTAACAGTTCAGAGAAAAAAATCTAGAAAATATACTTCTGATATAGTTTATACCATCTGAGTAATAACAGAAGTACAGTTAACAAAAAATTCACACTACATATGAATATGGAATTCTACCTGGAATAGAAAACGATTAAAATATTTTTTACAAAAATCACTGATTATTTAAAGTAGTGTTTTTTTGTACAATTACAGACATATGCAGAATTTAGACCATGGTTCAATGTACTAAATTCAAAGTTGTACTTGAAAGCATAGCATATCATTTGATGATCTTGAAGGCACTGCTTTACCACTTAAAAATACTTTTTCCATTTACCAATTTTATGTTTTACTGCCAGTCATAATTATATTGTTTCATCTATTACAAATTAAACACTATAAATTTTGAAAAATTTGAATAGTAAATTAAAAAGGTCTTTAGATCCCCTGACCTAGAAAATTGAGTCTTTGTATCTAATTACAAACACTTTCAATATCTTAATTTAAGTGTGCTCATCCAAGATTAGCTGGTTAAAAAAAGTTGGATTCCTAATTTTTAAAACTAATCAATGTATGTACATGTGTGTATATATATGAACATGTGTGTATATATATGATGCATGCATATACACAAACATACAAGCATATATATAAATACACATATATATATGTGTGTGTTTGTATATGTTTGCACTTCTCTCTGAAGCCTCCTGAAGCAAAGGTTAATCAGTCAAAAGATGTTACCAGTGTGTAATAATATTGGTACTTAAAACACTTATTTTGGACAATTAGGTGGTTTGAGAACCAAGGTATTAAAGGTAACATTTTACAAAGGATCAAAAATACGACTAGAATTTTGGCAAGATATTTTCCAAACTTTAATTTCTCAAACTGTGATATTGGAGACTGTCACCTATGAGTTGACATAATAAAACACAGCATCTGCCTTCTAAGGCAAATATTATTAGCAAGTAAGAAACCTATTTAAAACAATGCACAAAGAAATGTAAAAAAGAACCACTTCCATCCCTTCAATCTCCTGCCTTCGGAGACAAGTTCTGCCCAAAATCCAGTTAATCATTTTCTCCAAGAGAGCCAAGATATCCACAGACTAAAGTATCCCAGAAAGTATGGAAGTCATCTACCATTATCTTTGGGGTTTTGACGTATCCTAAGATGAGGCTGAAAAAAGGTCCAAAACCTTAGAGTGGCCCAAGATAACTTATTATCTCTAGGTTTATATTAAAAATTTCTTGGGGTCTTTTGTATCAGGTATAGGTAAAACCTAGGATAAATTTCACCTTACTGCAAAATACAACAGTTGGGGTTCAATCTAGGTCTTACAGAGGGAAAAGTAAGCAAAAGAGGTAAGTCAACAATTCTACTGTATTAAATAATAGGCTTACTATGTGTTATACATATAAAGAACATGAAAAATGTATCCTTAAAATAAAGGGGTTTAAATTCATTTATCCTTTTCTATTTTAAGAGAGAGTATATGTATAACTTGAAAAAGATATATCTGGACAAGGCAAGGTGGAGAAATGCTCCATCTGAGAAAAGGTAGAATCCACAGAAAAGGACATTTCAAAGGAGAAGGTTTGTAGCCAATCAAATGACTGGCAAAGATAAGTTGGTCTCTGTGAAAGTTGGAAGTTGTTCTTAGTGCCCAGAAGAGAACTCACATAGGGGTCGGGGAAGAAGCTGAAGAGCACTGTGGTAGAAAGAATTTTGCTCAGCCACAAGATTCTGGTCCTCTGCTAGACACACACCTTCTCCCAGTTATTCCATCAAATGTTGGACTAGTTGCTATTGGGAAGGGCTTTTGCAAATGTAATGAAGATCCTGAACCAGCGGACTTGAAAGTAGAGAGATTTTCCTTGGTGGGCCTAACTTGATCAGATGAGACTTCAAAAGAGACTAGGCTTTTCCTAGCAATAGAAATTTAAAGCATAAGATGGATAAAATATGATGGAGATTCTCCATCGCTGTCTTTGAAGATGGAAGGGACCACGTATGTGGGTCTCTAGGAGCTGAGAGTGGCCCCCAGCTGACATCTAGTAAGAAAATTCAGTCCTTAGGTCTATAGTCACAAGAAGTGAATTCTGCCACAATCACGTGAGCTTAGAAGAGGAATAGCAGCTCCTGATGAGAACGGTCGGCCAACACCTTGTTGAGTCCCTGAGCAGACAACTCCATCATGCCACACCCAGATTTTGACCTACGTACAGAAACACTAATAAACGAGTATTGTGTGAAGCTGTTAAATTCGAGGTAATCTGTTACACAGCAAGACAAAATTAATACAAGCACTAAACAAGCTAAATCATACAGCTTGATTTAGAAGAACCCAAGAGGTTTACTATAAGCCCAAAGTCCTACTTCAAGACATGTGTCTAACATCAAAGACATACAATGTTAAGAAACCAAAGAAGGCCACTATTAGATTAGACGTTGTAGAGAAAAAAAAAACCTAAGAAATTTTAGAGCTCATTAGCCATGGGGTAACCAGGAGACAAATGTCATAAAAATACAATGTATATTTACCTGGATAAAGATGATTCTTGGATTCACTGAAACCAAAAGGTGGGATTAGGTAATCTTTAAGGTCTCTTTCAGCACTTTCTGTAATTCTTGTCAAGACACAATTCTATCTTTTTTATAGACATGAGAGATGTCTGGGCACCAACCCAGATCCTACAAATGCTCATAACTTACCTAGCTTCTTGTAAAACACTGCAGCAGAAAGGGCACAATTTAACTTATTAAGGTTTAAAGCTTTCTTACCTGCATTTGACCAAAGGACTTTATCACACAGCAAAATACCTTCCCACATAAAACCTCTTTTCATATCTTCAAAAAGATGATTTCTTTCAAAATCCCATTGTTAAAACCGAAAGTTTGTATATATGTGCACAGGGAGGGAGGAGCTCATAAGGTCATGGACATGAGGCAATAACAGCAACAAAAAAAAGAGAAACTGGTTCACGCCCTGGGAGTAAATTTTTACTCTCAGTTTAGATCATTAAGTATAAATTAGGCACTTAAAAGTTAAGTGAACTCATTTATTAAAATATGACTTGGGGAAAAGTAGTGGTAGCAAGAGCTTGAAAGTGTTAATTTTGCACCTATGTAGCTTAATGTAAGCCTAAGTAACTTCTTAAGAGAAATAAAATCCATTGTCATTTTTATTCTAATTACTCTGAAAGCAACTGAGAGGCCAGGACTTCTAGAAAGTTGTTGAAAATAACTTGAGTCTAACTAGTAGTAAATAGCCGGAAGCTTACCTTAAAATGAATGAAAATATTAAAAAGTTCTCAAAATAAGATGAAACACAAAAAGAATTTCAGAACTTAAATACTCTAGGGAAATATACTAAGAATTTAATGCAACAATGGGGGAGGGAAAACTCAAGGGGTTACAAAATAGTTTCATTAATACCAACCATAAGTAATAAAAACATAAACAAATTCTTTTCTCAGTTCTCTTCATTTCCTTTAGCTTAATCTTTCAGTATCCTCTAAATGACAAACTGATTAGAAAGTAATTTGACAGAAAAAAAACCCAAAACCCAAAAATCCCCAACATAATCAAACGATCCAGTTCTTGATTTTAAAATGCCCAGACTGGCTTCTTTCTTACCTTGTCTATCCTATCTGGACGGTTAGTAGCTGCCAGGATTGTCACATCCTTTAACTGTTCAATGCCATCCATTTCTGTCAAGAGCTGAGCCAAAACACGATCGGCTACATTCCCAGCACCTGATGAACTGATTTTTAAAAATACAGTTTTAAAAATCTCTTTATCTATCCCCAAATACTCTTACTATTTTTAAAAGATCGTATATTCTATAACAAGAAACATTATGTCTTTTTCAAAACATAAAATGCATGCTTCAGAATTCATTACTTGTTGAATTAGATCCAAGAACTAACTATATTAAATCATTCCTTTTCCTCCATCAACAACCATGATTATTTTCTCTCCAATAATGAAATGCTAAGAGTGTCAAATATAAAAGATCTGGGAAGTAAGAAATAAGATTATAAGTAATTATTTAACTTAATCGATATTTACATTCTTTCTTTTTTTTTTTTTTTTTGCGGTACGCGGACCTCTCACTGTTGTGGCCTCTCCCATTGAGGAGCACAGGCTCCGGACGCGCAGGCTCAGCACCCATGGCTCACGGGCCCAGCCGCTCCACGGCATGTGGGATCTTCCCGAACCGGGGCGTGAACCCGTGTGCCCTGCATCGGCAGGCGGACTCTCAACCGCTGCGCCACCAGGGAAGCCCCCCGATATTTACATTTTATATGGCAAATAAACTGACAGGAATTGGGAATTAAAAAATGAATAAGATACAGACTCATTCTCACATGAACCTTAGAGCCTATGCGAGACAGAAAACTCTTTACAAACCTATAGCAAACGGGATATTTCTGACCTATCTTGATATTTTAAAATATTAAGAATATTTTAAAAACACATCAGCAGGTAGGGGGTCATCACAATACCCATATCTAGAGAAATAGGGGAAAAAAAACCATTTTATTTTGTTCCTTTTTTTCATGCACCAGGTCAATTACAAAGCTACTCCTGAACAAACTACACCTTAATTTAATCTCATTTCCTTGATCACAAAAAATTACTGAATATTGATTTTTAAGAAGTAAACTCAACAGGTCTTAATAGTGAACAAAACCCTGATATTACACAATCAAGGCCCCACAATAATAATTCTCATTAGCACTAGCTGGGATTTACTAGGCTCTGTTCAGAATTGGGAAATATATAATAAACATCTAGGTGGACAATTACAGAGTGAAACAGCATTGTAAGTATATTAAACATATAAATTCAATCAGACACAGTTGAGAGTGGGAGGGGGGAGAAGAGGGAAAGAGGATAGAAGAGACAGACCCCATACCTTTGTCTTAGCACCCATGACAGCAAGTACACCTTAGTATAATCATCACATAATATATTTAATAATAAGGTAATCAGGATCTCTAAATAAAAGAATTTAGATCTCAGTGTGCATTACAAGTTCAAAAACTTGACACAAAGGAGAGTAGCCCCTAACTCACACTAATCAGACATACATGATGTTGTTACACAAATCATACTGTCAATTAAATTAAACGGTTGGTCCTTCCAGATTGTTATATAAATTACACTGTCAATTTATTAAATGGTCCTTCCCAATGTCAAAAAGTTTGGGACCAAGCAAGGAGCATCTGGGAAGCCACTGAGATTTGTCTTGGTTAACATTAATTCCTGCAAGTAACCAATTGGCTGGTACATGGATTTGCTGATCTGGGTCTACTTAAGATTAAACATTTTGAATAAATAGATTATATATCTTTCCAAAACCGCTTCAAAATGTAACTTTTCCAAATGTTAGATAGGAACATTGCTAGCAAAAGCTCTATGGGCTCCTTCATGATGACTGCAAGCATATAAGCATTTAAGGATGCCAACAGATTACATCCAAGGCCTTTAATTGTATCTACTTTGCTAATTGTTGTGATCCTACACTACAAGGGGCAAAGGAAGGTCAAACGAACAGGTCTTGGGAGAGTCAAGGTGGGCTGTCCAGAGGTGATGGCTTCTAACCTACGACCCGAAAGATGAGTGGGGGCCAGACCAGCAAAGAAAAAGATAGGGAAGAGAGAGAATACAGAACACTGAAAATGGAAAACAGTTCAGAGTAGCACAGCATAGCAGTAACGTAAAAATGTAAAATATTAGCAGAGAAAGATAAACCAAGGCTGGATGACAAAGGCTTTATTATCCAAATTACTAAGTTTGGATTTTGTCCTAAAGTTGATGGGAAGTTTCAAGTAGAGACATGACAAGATCAGATATATGTTTTTGAGGACTACAGCGGCTACAGTATAGGAAACAGATCACAAAAGGGCAGTTTTGGTATGCTTTCCAGTCCAGTATATAAGAATCTTAGGAGGCTCTACTTCCTCCTAATAACAAGTAAAAAGCTCTATAAACTGAAAAATTAACTATTCTTTTTAGATCCCTCAGAAATGTGAGATCACAGGTACCTTAATCCATTCAGGCTGCTATAACAAAAAATACCACAGGCTAGGTGGTTTATAAACAACAGAAGTTCATTTCTCACAGTCTGGAGGCTGGTAAGATCAAGAGGCCAGCATGGTCAGATGAGGACTCTTTTCCCCTGGCTGGTAACCGACACCTCCTCACTGTGTCCTCACTTACCACTATATTTCTGACGGCCTATTTGCCACAGTTCCTGTTATCCAGTAAATCATGTCTATCAAGAAAAAACTATAAGGCATACTAAAAGGCAAACAAACACAGCTGGAAGAAAGTGAGCAAGCATCAGAACCAGAGAACCAGCAGGAATGCTGGAATTATCACACCAGTAATTTTTTAAAACTATGACTAATATGCTAAGGGCTCTAGTGGACAAAGTAGACAACACACAAGAAAGAGGCAACATAAGCAGAGAAATGGAAATTCTAAGGCTCAAAAAGAATTCTAAGGTTGTTACAACACTATGACAGAAATAAAGAATGCCTTTATTGGACTCATTAGCAGATTAGACATGGCTGAGGAAAGAATCTCTCCACTTAAGTATGAGTCAATAGAAACATCCAAAACGGAAAAGGAAAGAGAAAAAAAGACTGAAGAAAACAGTAAAAAAGTAAAAAGAAACAGAAAAGAAAATCCAAGAACTGTGGACAACAACAAAATATGTAATATATGTGTACCTGAAACACCAAAAGGAGAAGACAGGTAGAACAGAAAAACTATCTGAAGCCATAATGACTGAGAATTTCCCCAAATTAATGTCTGACAGCAAGATCCAAGAAGCCCAGAGAACATCAAGTAGGAAAAATGCCAAAAAGCTACACCTAGGCATATCGTATTCAAACAATAGAAAACCAAAGATAAAGAAAAAATCTTGAAAGTAGCTAGAGGACAAAAACACTTCACTACAGAGGCACAAAGATAAGAATTACATCGAATGACTCCTCAGAAATTATGTCAGCAAGGAGAGTAGAGTGAATCCCCATAGGAATGTTACACTACCTAGCACTGGAGAGTTACACATACACCAAAAAAAAAATATTAACCTAACAGCGTTACTAGATAATGATAAAGTTCTAATTTTTGTGACCTACCTAAAGGAATTTGTGTAACAGAACTAAATAGCTTTAAGTGAATGGCATACTTCCATCAAAAGAAAAAATCCTGGGCCCATGCCACACCTAAATCTATGTGTGCTTGTGCTTTGCTTGCTAGTGCTTCCTGATAGGAACTATATTCAAATAATGTCAGAACCCATCCTTAGCTATGTTATGTACATTCTCCCTTCTTCCTCCAATGAATTAGGAAGACTGCTAGATGTCTTACTGCTAAGTATGAATGTATTAGCTGAACTTGCTGAGAAGTAAAAAAAAAATAGCTACTAGGTTTTGTTTCAGATTAGGCAAACATCATTGTGGTACAGTGAGAGAAGAATGAGAGGAAAAATGAGGGGGGTAATTTTATTAGAAAGTGCAACAATTCATTCAATTCAATTCAACTCATTTATTCAATAAACATTCACTGCCTAGCAGGCCAGACATGGCTTTAGGAAATGGGAATTAAAACATTAAGATGGCAGTCCCTACTTCCTCAAGGACCTTAGAGTCTAGCAGGGAGAAAGAAAACTCCACATTCATTTGCTTTTCCAAAATAAGTAACACAGAATAGTTCCTGAAAGACTGATTCAAGAACTCTGGATAACATCTGCTTTCAGTTTAAATCAAGAACTTGGACAGCATAAACGTAACTAAATAAAACTAGATTAAGATAACTGATTTACCCTATCAGTAATGAAGCAGTGGCTCTAACTTATAACCATGAATGCTCATACTATATAGAACATTTAGAATCTTTTATAGAAAGGAGAGCAATCTTATAGTTATCAAAGTTAGGTTTAGCCAGGGCTAGTACTGAATCTGAGCACCATTCAATACAAGCTTTCCTACATGGTAACATTTGAAAGAAAAATTAAACAATGATGTTAAGAGGCTAAAAAATGAGTAAGTTTAACAAATAACATAGATTTATTATTATTAAAATCCACATACTGGTTTTAACTCTTCAAACTTTATAAAACAAAAAATTTGAATACATTTAAAGGCATTCCAAATTTACAAAAATTTTCATCATAAAATTCGAACAGTATTTCAGTATTTTATAACCTTGGATTAATGTTTTGAACATGAATCATTGTAGAAAATAACAGATTTAAAGATGAAAGGATGTCACATACAAGCTTTATTACAAGCACTTTTTACATGAGAGCTTATCAGGGGAAACAAAAACAATACAACAGTCTTTCAGTTTGAATTTAAGTCATAGGTAAGAAAAAAAGTTAAGGGGCTTTTTAAATGCCATTTTTAGATGCTGAAAGCACACTGATGCACCACCACGTTCAATTAACATAAACTAATCTAAAGTTAAGAATGGGTAAAACATTTCACGAATAGAAAAATAACCATTACCATAATCGCTTTAGACGCTGAACCCAACAAGCATTAGATATGGAGTCCACAAAAGAAACGGAACAATTAAGCCCAAGATACACTGTTATCAACAAAAGCATAATATTGAATATACACATCCCTAATTCACCCATTCCTCAAAACCCTATATCCTGCAAATAAAAAGATAAATAGGAAAAGATTTTTCTAGACTCTCATTTAGCCTTTATCCCTTCTTCCTTTTAGTTTCCTCTTA